TTGCCATGGCAACGGGCCGGCTGCGCCAGGAGCAAGCCGGTCCCATCCATCAGGAGCCGAGCAGCCGTCGGACCCGACGGCACTGGGAGCACCAGGGCCAGAGCTGTTCCCAGCTGCTGGATGCGGGCGTGATCCTGACAGCCAGCCCGGAGAAGCAGCCACCAAGGACGTTTTCCCAGCCCAGAAGGGATTTCCGCGAAGGTTTCCCAGCGATGCCGAGATACAGGGCAGTGTGGCCCCACTCCGGGCGAGCGTGGGGCTGGTTAGCGTGACTTGGGAGGAGCAGGGGAAGCACCGGCACGATGCATGGGGAAACCCAGCCGACGCTGTGAGCCGGTCCCAGCACGGGGCTGAAGAGTAGCATGGAGAGGGGCAAGCTCTCTGCATGGCTGGGGGACAAGGAGCAGGTTATCAGACATTTCTAGATCAGCTGTTATAAATAAGCAGCTATTTCTCCTCCCTGGGAATAGGCAGGATTTCTCCCTGCACAGCCTCCAGAGCACGGATTTTGAGGGCACATGAAAGTGTTGGTCTCTCCAGCATTGCCAGATCTAGGTCAGGTTAATTTGCCCCTTGTTCTGGTTGAACGGAGCCGAGACCAGCTCTGCTGGTGGCAGCGCAGGGGAAAAGCAGCACCCAAACGGCGTGTGCCGGATGGGACGCACCTCCCGCATGCAAAGCATCACCTTGATGCTCTTGAGGAGGGAATATGCCTCCAGCCAAAACACTGGGGTGGCCCTGGCCTGTTGCAGAGGAAGGGGAGGTGACTCCAAATCTGCTGCAGACCCCTGGGAGCGAGACTGAGCACCCCGCAGCACACGCTGGCTACCATGGCAGGCTGCAGCAGCAGCTCCTGGGGCACGCACAAAGGCAAGGCTAGGGACCGAGCTCCTGCAGATGCCGTCCTTCCCGGGATTTAGGGAAAAGCAAAAAAAAAAAAAAAAAAAGAAGTGACAGATTAAAATGCCTGCGTGCAGCAGGGAGGTGCTCACAGGCAGCCTCGGCTGTCCCAGAGGTTTGGTATTCCCTGGGCAATGGAATGGGATGCAGGTACAAGGTTCGTCTCGCTAGGGAGAAGGGAATTCAGCTGAAGCCAGATTCTACCAAGATGGAAAACAAGAAGGTAAAGGACTGCAAAGCACTCCTTCAAAGAAAACTGAGATCATGGAGGCTGTGGAAAACCTCGCGGCGTTACCAGAACCAGCAAGGCACGGGGCTGGAGGAGCGACCCGGTGGGGACCAGCAAAGCTGAAGGTGCTGCTGGGTGCTTCCTCCCGCTCCACCACTCGAATGCAGTCCCCCGCTGCCGCAGCGTGCACCGAGGCTTCCCCCGAGG